CTGAAAAAAAAATCTAATACTTCTACATCAACATAAAGAAAACATTTAAGTTAAATTGAAAAGTAATTTTTTTACATTAAAAAATTGGTTTATAAATAAAATGCTGTTGTTTTTATATCCTAAAAACAGAAAAAAGCATCTTAAATATCCTAAGAACTTCTCTTGCCATTTTCTTAACTTAATTGTTGTTTTTTTGACGAAAAAAATTTTCTTTTCCAAAAACAATTATAAGTTTGCTAAACAAGTGAAATCTTTATTTGCAATGTATTTACCTTCTCTTCAACTCTAATAATTTTTTTTACCATTTCGTTGAAAATTTTTTACTTTAAATAAATAAAAGTATTGCAGCTCAATTAAAATACTAGTTTTTTTAGTTATAAAATTTTTGTTGCCTAATAGAAATTACAGAAGTTATTTTTACGAAAATAAAGTTATAAAGTTACAACTTACCCTGTTTACTGTTGCAACTTACCTTGTTTACTGTTGCAACTTGCCCTGATGCGGGGTAAGTTGCAACATTCTTTTGTTTCACTATTGCGGAACTAAGTTTTATATCTTAATATCATATTTATCAATGTTGAATTAATTTATGATGTTGATGTTGTTGATGTTGATTTATGATGTTGTTGATGTATTAATGTTGATTTATTTTATAACCCTGAAAAAAAATTTCAAAAATATTAAAGTTAAAGGAGATAAATGCAGTTTTTTTAAAATTTTGTTGCAACTAGCCCCGGTCTCCCCTGGACTCTGCGCTTACAACAATATCAATTAATAAATGTGCTCTTTAATGCATCTATTGAAATTAATAAATGAAATTTTGAAAGTAATAATTACCAATAAAATTAGTAGAAAATAATTGTTAAAATAGATCTTCCACAAGTTAGTTATGCTAACTTACAACTTACATAGTAAATTAAATCTCAACTTGCATAGTAAATCTCAACATTTCCAGCAGGCAACTAAAATCAGAACTTGCCGGTGTCACGAAATAAATTCATTTCGAAATAATAATAATAAATTCATTTCGAAATAATCTTTTTCCCTATCTGCGAAATAAAGTTTCCTCCGTGACATTAGTTCCCCTAAATACTTAAATACACAAATTGATATGACTTGCGCAATTAAATACGCAAATAAAATGATCTAAATTTTAAATGCTAAATTCGGTTTAAATACTAAATTAACTAAATGATTCTACATTAAAAAAACAAAGTTATACTTGAATCAAACGCATCAATCATTAAAAATAAGTGTCAGATAAAGATTTTTTACGCGGTTTTTTCATTAAAGTCGCAAACAAATTAGGGGAGAACGAGGTGAGATAGGACAAAAAAAATTTTTTGTTTGCCACGCTTTATATTTTTGACAAACACCATACAATTTGGTCTAAAACTAGTCTAATAAGTTGTCATGGGAAATTATTTAAAAACCCATTAGTTAACCATCAAATTAAGTTCACGGCCTCGTTTTTTTAATGTGACACTGTTTGTCCCATGTCTCCCCATGTTGGGGTGAAATGGGAAAACGTTTGGGGTGAAATGGGACAAGTTAGAAACAAATAATTTTGAGCATTATTTTATTCTGTCTATTCTACTTCTTATATAACACTACAATACACAACATTTATTTGTGTACACTTAAAATAAGATATTCTAAATGCATTTATAACTTTGTTCAACAAGGTCGCTTGATGTTTATATAGAGTCAATATTGCGTTGATGTCTCAAGGGGTAACTTTTTTGCTTTTTCTTATTTTTATCTTCCTTTTTTTTTTTTACATTATAATAAACTTACAACTAGTTCATTTCTTGTTGGTGTGTCAGTCAATACCAAAGACCTAGAACCTTTTTCTTTTTGCACTTTTTCTCTTTGTCACCTTCTCACCCGCTTTTGGAAATGGCCTTATATCTTCTGCTGTCCAATGGTAGGCAGAAGTGCTTATTTGCTTTTTCTTGTCTTTAATAACTTCTGATACAATAGATAGTGGTGTATGGATCGTTTGCATTTGCGAATCAGATAGTTTACTTAAATTATAAGCCTTAGTTGCAGGGTCTGTCTGATCGTATACATTAGCTATACTGACAGAAATTATTTTTTGGACTGGTTGAGAAATGCTGCTGGACAAACTGGCTGATAAAGTAGAGATATTTGCTGGAATTGGCTGATCAGATACATAAAAACATAAAAAGTCTACATCACTAAAAACATATGGATCGTACGGGAAAATGTCAGCTGCCTTAAAACCATTTTGAATGTTTTGGGAAGTAAAGGCTCTCGCATAAGCTATTCCTAAATTTTCAGAAATGTCATATATCATCATAGGAGTATTTGGATGTGCCTTTAACCATGAATCACATGCTGAACTGTAAAATTTCTTTAATGGTCCAAATACTGATCTGTCAAGAGTTGGAGTTTGTGGCTGGCAATCTCAAGAGCACAGCATTACTTTCCTTAGCTTTATCAATTCAATTGATATATGACTTTTGTGGTTGTCTATTATTAAAAGTAATGGATGATGCTGGCTAGGATGTCCATACTGCACAAAATGATCAAACCATTTCAAAAATATTTTTGTATTTATCCATCCACTAGGATTAGCATCACCTTTGGTACCTGTTCGTGCATATTTAAGCATGTGGCTACGAAAATGGACACGGGGAAATATCAAAAACGGTGGAATAGAACTTCCAAGAGCATTTATACAACCTATCATTGTAGCTAGGGTTCCTCTTTCAGCAGAAGTTACCTGTCCTACTTGCTTTACTTCTTTACCCGCAACCACCTTCACTGGCTTATGAACAGTTGTAAGAGCTGTTTCATCAATATTGTAAATGCAATCAGCAGAAAACTTATAGCGCTTCTGTACACTGTTAAGGTTTTTGAAGAAAGTATCTACATTGGTGCGATTGAAACTAGTTGTTCTACTAAGGCTGGTAGCTTCTGGCATACGAATAGATAATTTTGTACGATTTAAGAATAAATAAAACCATTCAGTTCCAGTTGTTTCACTCTTTTTCCAGTTTTCTGGTATTTTAATCTCATTTTTAATTGCATATTGATAAGCAAGTTGCTTTGTTTCTCTAACATTAAGTCCATAATGCTTATCAGATGCTTAACGAAGATAAATTGAAAGTTCAACTTCTTGCGCCTTATTAAAAATATATTTATGTTGTTCATCAAAATATAAGTCATTGTAAGAAGTTTCTTTATTAACATTATTATTTTCCGCTGTAAACTTGATCTCGAAATTTTATATTCCAGTGCAGATGCTCGTAGTGATAAACTACCAGATTCAACAGCCATCACAGCGGCTTTTATTGTTTGAGCATCAGGCTTTAACCGATTCGTCACTCGTTTGTACTTTCTTGGCATCTGAAAAATATTACACATATTACTCACTCTATTATTCAAAAATTATGCTTTTTTAAAATTGCATAAACTAAAATCCATATTATTAATGAAAATAAATTAGTACCACAACCCTAAAAACTTATAATGAGATTAAATTTAAAAAGGGTAATAGTAAAGATCTTTATTTAAACTGAATTATAAATACAGTGCTAAAAAATATTCTTTATAAAACGATACTTACTGTGAAAAATGTCTTTAACAACCAAGATAAAGTTTCAAAGAAATTTTATAGAACTATTTTTTTTTCTAAGAAAAAAAACATGTTTATGGAAATCTTGCCCTAAACATAAACATAATTTTCTGCTAACTTGTTTTTTTACAAAAATAATTTATTGAAAAAATTAAAACATAACAAATTAAACAACTGATAAAATTGAAAAGTGTCCCATTTCACCCCAAGTCTCCGGTCCCAAGTCACCCCATCACTATTAGGTGTGAGAAATCCTTTATTTTATATAGTTCATTTGCTAATTATGTTTCTTCAGTAATTAAATAAGACAATAATGATTAATTAAAAACCATAAACATAAAAATATATGGAAACATAACATAAATATTTATCGTTAATGATGTCTTTAAAGTCCAGGAAACTTGTTAGATTTTAACATATTCGAAAATAATTTGAATTTTAAAATACTTTCGAAACTCAAAAAACACATAAATATGAATCTTATCACATATATATAAAAAAACTGCTTTAATAATTTTTTTGCTGAAAAATCGCTATGTCCCATCTCACCCCGTTTTCCCCCTACTAAAATTATTTGTTTGATTGTTAGCAAAATAACTACGTGCAAGTTTAAAACGTTTTTGAATGTTTTGAAAAGCTCTTGTTTTCGAATTTGTGTGGGTCTTTTATGATTATGTTATTGAAATCTGTATAAGCTTTTTGTTACGATTAATTAAATAATTTTATAAATTGCAAATCATTTTTATGAAAAAACTTTCATTTTATATTTATTATAGTTATTTGCTTATAGCAACGAACAAGAATATTTTCAAATGTCTATTATTCAACTAGTTACATACAAATATTGCATGTTTGTAAATACAAAACAATAGTTATTATTAATTAATAGTAAAATATGTTAAGTTGTACAGTACAAAAAATACTGAGCAATACTGTAAAATACAGCTAAATTGCGGTTTTATTTTTGTTAATGAAATACTGGGAGCCATGTGAAAATTTTACATTAGGCGCCGCCATGCATATCAACGTTTCTTAGAATAGGTTATATTTAATGTTAAAACATGTTATTTAATAATTAAAATACCTTAACAAGGTTTTAATCGGGGGAACATTTATTACGGGCGGGGAAGAAATATTTTCTCTCCCCCCCCCGAAATGTTTATTCTAGAATATATTTTCCGAGGAAAAGTTTGTCTCAGTACATACTTTCCGGGGGGAAAAAAATATGGGGGGGGGGGGAACTTGTTACGCGACACCGGCACTTACCTTATTTTGCGTTTTATTTTTTGAAATTTCAGCCGTCCATTGAGTGAAATAGTCGTTTGTATAGCCGGACGACTGTAACAATTTTATTAATTTGCTTATAACATGTTTTCCCGTAATAGATTACACGAAATTTCGATTATGAGAATATTATATATGGTACAAAACATTAGATAGATATAATACAGGATATAAGCAAACGAAGATTATTTATTGCTTCTTTTTCTTTTTATTTTTTGTTGGAGTTTCTTGTTGCGGACGTTTTCGTTTATTGCTTTTATCACTTTGTCTCGATTCCATATCTTTCTCTCTGTCTTCTATAAAAGATAAATTAAAAACATCAGAAATGCAAAAATATTGCTATCTTTTAACTAAATAAATTAACTTTTTATACCTCTTTTAGCTTGTTCTTCTAAATCACTCCAATCTTTTCCGCTTGATTCGTTGCTGTCCAAATCATCCTCATAATCTACATTAAAGATCATATCAACATTAAACATCATATTAAAGATGACGTCCAATAAAACAGTATTAAAGGTGACGTCCAACAAAACAGTAACAAAATAGTCTTGACAGTCATTATAAACATTAGATAAACTAGAAAACTAATGATTTTGAAAAACAATACTATGAGCGAATTTTAGTCTAAATGGTAATAGGTCAGTTGGATAAACAACATTTTGTCCAAATGACCTATTACCACTATGTTAGACAACTTAATGAGCTAGCTGGCAGAAAAAAATCACATTTAATAAAAATGGACATATGGCATTTTGCCTAATACCTATCAATATAAATAAAAATCAAAACACAGAATTAAAAAAATTCAAACATTGACGCTTAATCTTGTCTGAATTAATTTAATTAAAAAAACAAAAAAAAAAAAACACACCAGAATCAGACTCAGATTCAGCATCACCAGAATCATATTCATCGTCATCATCTTCTTCATCTTCGTCAAAACTTTCTTCGCTTTCTGGTTTAAACTCTTCATCATCATCACTTTCATCATCGTCGTCTTCTTCCTTTAATAAAAATTATCATTTAAGTTCACTGATATAAAAATCTTTCTGCTAAAAATTGTCTGTAATAGTCCAAAAAATTTTACATCGCTTTGAGGCTCAAGGAACGACCAACCACCATTTTCGAAAAAATCTTCTGGATTTGTGTTGATGGTTTTCATAATCTTTATCCAGTTTAAACTTTGAATTCCTTCAGTATACTTAATATCACATGAGCTGAAATAATAAAATATTTTAAAATTTGGATCACAGCGGATTATTCAACTAGACTAAAACCTGTAGTTTTGAGTCATGTACTTTAATGTAAAATATATTAACTTTAGGCTTGGCTTAAAGGCTTAAAAAACCAAATTTCTTTTCAAAACATAGCTTACTTTTAAAATATCCTGTATACTAACAAAATAGATTTAATATTTTCCACTGTTTTTATTTCTGCAAGATTAAACCTCATTTTTTTTAGAACTTTACACTTGGAAAGTTGGTTCAACATTTTAACCCAAAATACCATTAAAAAAGCAATGTACAAAATGCATTTTGTACATTGCTTTTTTGATGCAATCATTACATATGTGTAATTTAAATAATGATAATACCACTTGATTCTTAGATCTTATTAATAACCTTTTCATAAATCATAAACATCAAAAATATTGAACAGTGAGTTTTTTTGTTAAAATAAATCTTTTTAAGGACATAATCCTAATTCGGACTTAAAAAACTTAGATTTAAAGGGGAAGGAGGGGGGATTTGTAATTAGCCAGTTAATTATTCAGACAGTTACAGAATTCAAATTTAATGTAAACATAAATATATTCTTCAAAAATACTTGATATTAACATTATTTGTGGTAGAGGTGTAATGGTAGAGCGCTCACTTCTTACACGAGCGCTCACTTATACGCGCTTCTTACTTATGAAAGTTTCTCGTTTTGGTAGAGAAAAGTTTGACCCCACTACATGCCTGGTAGTACCGCTCTTAACTTTTTTTTTTTTTTTTTTTGCAATGGCCTTGTTCGTCAAGGTTTGTATATCGGAGATAAAGAATTAGGAGAGAGTTGTAATCAGAATAAAGTAGCTTGAAATTAGTGATCTTTAGTGTAAATATTTAAATTGGATTTTTAAACTTAAACTTTCGATCTTAAATATCTTAAAACATTAAAGTTCTAAAATTAAAAAACTTCAGCATTATCATAAGTTTTAATATTCAAAAAACGGAAAAAAAGTCTCAGAGATATATCTAGAAATCTGAAATATATGTAAAAGTCGGAGAAAATAAACGATAAAAGAAACAATATACCATTGATGTTTCCTAGAATTTAAAATTACTAAAATTAAATATTGCCAGGATTTTATGCTATATATGTTTTGCATATACATAATTTATTTAACAAACTACTATTGTTATTATTTAAAAACAAATAAACCCAAGCTAAATATGGAAATAAAATTCAGGCCAAATATGCAAAAATAACACAGTCTAAATGTGCAACTAAAACCCAAGCCAAATAAGCAAATAAAACCCAGGTCATCGGGGTATATAGCTAACTGTTGCTCTAATTCTAGTAAACTGAAAGAATTTACCAATAATTCTGTTTTAATTATGTACAGAATGCCTTTCTATTTATTTTATATAGTTATTATTATTTAGTTTCTATTTATAGTATTTGCTGATTATTTTTTTATACAGAAAACACTGTAATTTAAAGTTAAATAAAATTAAACATTTTGTTAGAATAACTATTTAAGTATTTATTTAATTTTAAACAAACTTAGTCATTTTCCTGTCAATAATCAACATCATCTTACTTATTGACTTAATGCTAAGTAAAAACTGATAATGAAACAGACACAATTCTATTTTATACAACATATACTAGAGCCGCACACCACTTATTTACAGTCTACCAAAAACAGAGTGGGTTGCGACAGTGGACTATTTGAGCTTCTTTAAAACTTTCAAATGCAGTCATTATTTTGTAGAAAGCATACTTATTTCTTTTTTACATTTATTTTTAGGTAATATTCTTTCTAAAAAATATGCGTTAAATAAGAAAATAATGAGGGTAAAACTGACTTTTAAATGTATTTTTCATTAAAACCTTAAAAACTAAATCTTACTCTAACAGATTTTTATATAATTGCTAAATTACATATAAATATTAAAACCTGAAAATTTTGTTAGTAAATTTAATACAACTTGAAGAGCTGAGCTCTAGATTGAGAGCTGAGCTCTAGATTGTTAAAATTATAAAAAAACACCAATGCTTCTTTGAAAGTAAACAACTTTACAACATCAACTTAAGCATAATTTTTAAAGTATCAAGCAAATGAGCATCATTTGCTTCTTAAACTGCAGATCAAATATTTTACAGTATCAATAAGTATATTTTATATATATATATATATATATATATATATATATATATATATATATATATATATATATATATATATATATATATATATATATATATATATATATATATATATATATATATATATTTATTTATTTATATATATATTTATATATATATATTTATATATATATACATATATATATATGCATATATATTTCATTATTTTTAAATAAAATCATTTATCTCCTTAAGTTATCAAGTTGATAAAAATATCAAAACATACTTTAGCCAATCTTTAACAGAATCAAGAGATGTCATTGGAATCGCACTGACCATTGCCACTTTTCTTGTATAATCTTTGAAGATAAATACTAAGTCAAAATTTTTCATGTGAAGCTAGAAACCAAAAAAATATAAAAATATGAATTAGCAGAGAAATACAACTTTGGTAATCAACAAAATTCCTAACATTTTCCCACCAAATTTATTACCCACAATCCCATACTTGACCTAATGCCAAAGCGTTAAAACCTGAATTAGCTTAAAGCAAAATAGAAAAATATTTTTCTTTCTTTTAAAAACATTGTATATGTAAAAAATACATAAGAAAATTTTCAAAAGAATGCAATAAAATAATTTAAATCTTATAAATGCATTCTGCTTTATTTAACAAAATTATATTTTAATGTGTTTTAAGAACAATTTTTAAAAATACAAACTGTTAGAGCTGAAAATAAAGATTATGGAGCTAAAAAAAAAAAAAATTATAGAGCTTAAAAACAATAATAGATAAATATATAATTGTGGTCAACAAATTGGCTAATGAAATTGGTGAAAATGAAAAAGGGTGAAATAAACTAAAAAAATACTAAATAATTGAGTTTCTTTTTAATTAAGTTTTTACAAAGTTCATTTTATTCTGAAAATGACCAGCAATATCTTATATATTTTAAATACTTTTTGCTTGTTTTAAACATTTTAAACAATTTTTAATACTTTAAATAAGATGCATAGAATATATTTAGTGCAGACTTACGCTAGAAGATAATAAAATGTTTTTTCGTTATTTATATTTTATCACAAAGCAAGAGCTTGTTTCTACAACTTTGTCATTAAAATGTTTGCATTTGGATTTTACTTGGATTTTCTACAATGATGAGAACTTCTCTTAATAGTTATAAAAAAACTTTTGACAAAAAACTTTTAAAATAGAATTTACATCAATTAACTTCTTACGAAAAAAAAAATCTCAATATTTTAACTAATTTGAATAAATTATAAAAATTCATAACTATTTTATTTTTTAAAAAAAGAGTTTTTTATTTCAAAAATTTCAGTAATAGAAAATAAAGTTGTTAACATAAAAATTTTTTTTTTTTTTTTTTTTAAATTGTGTATACTGCTTTGACAAATCAATTTCAAAAAACGTTCAAAAAAATAAAACTTAAAATGTGTGTAAATATATACACACTAAAAAAAAAGGTCGAAAAATTCTGCCTTAGGGTACAATATGTGATAAACCCTTAGTAAAATATATTTTTGTACCTTATATTATATATATTACTGGAAATATATATAATATAAGGTGTTCAGTAATATATATAATAAAAATATATATAATATTTTTATTATATGTATTACTGGAAAAAGTAGTTAAAACATTTATTTAAGTTGTGTTAGAATTAACTTTAGCAACAAACCTTTATTCATCTATTTAAACCTTTAAAAAATGTTTAAAAACTTCAAAAAATCTTTTAAGCTTGTAGTAATAAACTAATATAAGGAAAGGATTAAATTGTAATTTTTATATTATAAACAACTTAAAAAATATATTGTATAGTAACAATATATTATTTATAATTGTATTTCAAAATAGATATAAAATATAGATAATATATATAAATATAAGTACTTCTATTAAGAATAATAAACTTTGGAACATAAAAAAAAATTTGCATTAAATTTGTGATAAACAAATGTAAAATTTGCAACAATTTTACGTAGAGTACAAATTTGTCATCTCTGACACGATATTACATTACACTTATAATAATATTATCCTTATCGACAATTTTCAATATTTTCAAAGTTTTTTAAAATAGCTACCTGAACCCGTTCAAAATGTACTAACTCAATATCATCTAAAGTTACAATAAACGGTGGCTGTTCTGTTAAATTGACAACACAGTGAGTTGTTGGTTGCAACAAGACAGTACTCTTAAAGGGAACACCAGAAAATCTAGATAATAGAAATAAAATATTGAACATAAAACTAAAAAAAAAAAAAAAAAAAAAAAAGAAATCTGAGATATATGTAAAACAAATGACTTACCCCAATTCTCTAAAAGGCACATCAAATTCAACTTGCCCATGTGTAAGACCTTCAATTTTATCGGTGAAACTTTTAAATGCAGCTTTAAGTCTTTGTCTTAACTCTCTTTCAGCCTAAAATTTATAATAAATTTATAATTAATTACACATTGTGATATAAAAACATAAGATAAAAATGAAAATTTCAATAAATAGTTATTTATAAATTAGTTTAATTTTTTTTATTTTTCATGTTATATTTATTTATTTTTTCTGTTTATACATTTATCTATTAACTCATTTTTTTTAAAACACATTAAATATTTTAACAGCTGTTTTTATATGTACATATGTATGTGCATAAAAATATTTTATCTTATGCACATCCATTAAATTCATCATTTTATGTGTCCATAAAAAAACTCATCTTATGTTGATAAAAAATCTCTTAACTATTTACTACTTGCATGCATGACTTAAAGTTTTATTTTTCATATGCTTGTTTGATTATTAATTTTATTGATTTTAGTTTTCTTTACAGAATGTTTTGATTATTAATTTTATTGATTTTAGTTTTCTGTACAGAATATTTTCAACTGCTGAAAAACACAAAACTAAAAAAAAATTTAAATAAAAAAACAAAAAACAAATTGCAATTAAATTGAAAAACTAAATATATACAACATTAGTATTATATTTGAAAATATTTCTATTACTTGTTCAGCGTGAAGATCATCTCTGTCATGCATATGTTGATGTTTTCCAAGATCTGTTGTAATTTCACCAACCTAAGTAAACATTAATAACATTTAAAAATCGAACAAATAAAACTCATTGATTGTATTAAACAAAAAGAACAATAAAAAAACAGAAAAAGAACAACAATGAACATACTTCTGTATAATATTGAATGTCTCTATACTTTTTTTTACCAATGATTATGGGATGCTAAAACAATTTTTAAAATAATTATACACTAACAGACCTTGTTATGAGATTTTTTTGTGTAACGGAAAAGTGTAACGCGAGTAAATGAAACTTTACTCAATAAACATATTTACATCATTAAAGTTTAATTACATTAGTTGCGTATTTTGAAGTACCACATTGTAATTAAATTTAATTAAAAAGCACATCAAAAATCATTTAAAGTCTTTAACTTTATAAAATACTATTAAATTAAGTAGTATTGTTATAAAAAAAGTTATAAAAAAATTTTTAATGTTGTTTTAAAAAAAAATTTCCTTATTTTAAAAAACTTACACTTATCAGCAATTTTTTAAAAATGTTTTTACAGATATAGCCATAGGTTATCCTAGTCATATTTTAAATATCCGGAAAATTGTTTGGATAAAATATCCGGAAAAAATCCGGAATTTGTTTCCCTTATTTTCTTTTTAATTTCGCTTTTAGCAAAGTTGATGCTAATTTTTTTTAAATACTTTTCATAATTTTTCAATGAGTGATGAGTGAAAAAGCTTATAAAATAAATATATTACAAAAATATATACCTCAACTTGCATTTATTGAAAATGTTTTGGATATCCGGAAAAATTATAAGTTGAAAAAAATATCCAGAATTCCGGAAATATCCGGAAAAAGATAATCCCTGGATATAGCTCAAGATACACGCGTCAAAAAACTTAACAGTCAAAAAATAAATATCAACATTTTTTAAAAAATATTTTGGCTTTAACAAAATCTTTGCATACTAATCATAAACTAGTTAAAAATTTTTAATTGAATTTCATTTTATGATCAATCTAAAAAAATAATGATAATGAAAAACTTTTGTTAAAAAGCAATTTCAAAACTGGTAAACTAATCTTTTCATAAATTTGTTATATAAAATTTACAAAAAAATTCTATAAAATATTTTTAATAAATCTAATAATTTTGCCTACAGGCTTGATTATGGTTTATCATGCAATGCATTTATATACAGTTATAAGTGCATTAAGCACTTTTGTATATTATTACTTTCGTAACGGAATGACAAAAAATTATTGATTTGAAACTATAAATAATTAAACAAAATAGTTAAATGTAATACAAACATTTTAAAGTAACTTGAATTAAATTCATTTTAAAAAATTTTCTTAAACATAATTTGGAAATTTTAGCATTAAAAAAAAATAATGGAGCGCATTAAAAGAATTTAAATAAAATTTAATAAAATAAATTTATATTTATTAATATTTAATATTAAGTTTAATTTAAATATAATCAAACAAATTAAAAATATTTTTTTTTAAAAAAACAAAAAATAGAAAAAAATTTATTCAACTATCTGTTTTTTTATCGAAAAATATTTCACATTTTTTTTACAACAATTACTGCTTAATGTTTTCAGTATATGCTGGAGACTGTTTAAATAATAATCTAATTGAAAAAAGTTTTGGCTTACATAAATGCGTGGTGAAATCACCATTTCATATGCAAAATTCAAATGGTGTAATGCTTTTTAACTATAACTTGCATGCAAGTAACATTTTTAACTTGCACTAATGAAGGTATAATCAAAATAAAAAGTAAAAAAATGAAAAAAAGTAATATTTTTTACCCTTAGATGAAAGTGAAGCAAAATGATCATTTCTCCATCACAAGGCTATGGTAACGAAATAATACAATTCAAAAACATTCAAGTAACAAACAAAGCTATGGTAACCAAATAATACAATATGGTAATTAAAAAACACAATTCAATAACATTCAAACTATACTTAACCAATATCAAACAAATAAAACAACTTTAAACCTGAAAAAATGCATGTTTAATATTTTTGTAAAGTATGTCAACTTTGTCACCACGAATTGTTTGATAGCGGAAACCTCAAAAGTAATCATTTACATTGCAATTAACTTGTAAATATATATTTATAATTTAGACTGTTATTAAACAAAACAAAGAAACAAAAAGAACAACAACAAAAAAAAGAGATATAAATTTGCATTGAATTGTAAATGATTTTTTGGATAAAAATCCACACACAATAAATCACCCAGTGATTTGATCTATAAATATTGCACCCAGTGATTTGATCTATAAATATTGCACCCAGTGATTTGATCTATAAATATTGCATAAGTGAATTTGTCAGATTTAATTAATTTTTTGATATTCTTTATTAATAACTCTGCTATTTCTTTATTTCACACAAAATACTTTCTGTCTTTTATTCAAGAGCAAAAGATTGTATTTTGCATGCCCCAACATTTTTTCCAAAAGGACCCCTTTTTTATTATTTAAGAAATTCGAAACCTGTGTTGTCAGCCTTGTTAGTTAAAGTCTAGAGAGACGATACCATAAAATAATGCATAGGAGCTACCTTTACTTGCTAGCCTTGCAAGAAGCAAGTTATCTTTTCACACAAGTAACCTTTGATTTATCATAAATAGTGTTTTCTTTTGGTGGCCACCCAAATAACACATAAAATCTAAATCCAGAAAAGCTAAGAACGATGATGTTGGTCAAAGAAAGTTATCCTGTTATTAAATCAAGCACTAAATAAGAGATACATTACGTAGGATACATATACATGGAATACATTTTGTGAAGGTGAGCCAGCTGATCAACTACAACCAGAAAAACATCAACCCTCAACTTTCACCACATCTAAAAAAAAAATTCTACATATGTTGAATTTACTTTGTAGATGTGGGTTTGACTTTTAGAAGAAAATCTAGATCACATCTTCATAAAATGTATTAAAATAAATAAATATTGTTTGAAGTAATAAATGAAATAAACTCCTGTTCTTAATTTTTTTACTTTTCTAATTATCGCGAGAATAAGATTTAATTGCAAAACTTCTAGAATTAAAGAAGATAATAGCAGAAATATTAGAATTTTTTTTTGATAAAATTGCAAGAACAGAATCAAAAAAAAGTCACATTTCAACAAGTTTGGGGAAATTGGAAAAAAACCGCTTCACAATTACCTAACTAAATAGAACCATCGTAACTAATAGCCCATGAATTCTTATCTAAAAATCAAAACAGAAATTTACAGCATAATTCCATTGCGGTAACGCCAGTGCCTAATCTGGACAAGCCTTAAGATGGTTATGAAGTACAGTGATCAGGGAAATCTAATAAAAAAAGAAAAATGATTTAAACCTGAGTACGAAAAACTGGTGAACTGATACTTAAAGATGTGTCCAGGCAAATGAGGATAATAGCCATATTATATCATGAGAGTATAAAAATAATTATTATTATTTGAATTTAATGGTAATTTAATCTTTATATTTTCTGTATCTACAATAATATTCTGATTTATTATAATATAAAATTTAAACATTATATAACTAATAATTTCAAAAATTATTAATTATAAATATTTTTATTTATAAATTAAGCTTCATTAACTAAATCTAAAATAAAACTTACCATTGACGTGAGCTTCTAGAGTTCCCTTGAAAAAAAAAAAAAAAAAAAAAATTTTTTTAAATGTTTACTATTACTACCACCTATTATCAACAATCTTATTGACTTTTTTTTTTTTTAAATGTTAATTTCTACCCCAAAGTCAAGAAGGCCACTACAATCAAGGAAGTACTTAAATTGTAATTACAACTCTTTTTCAACTCTATAACTCCGAAACACAAACCTTGATGAACAAGGCCGCTGTGCAGAGAAACAGGTTGAATGCAGTATTTCCAGGGTCGTGTGGGAATTAGCAAGCAACTGGGGCTGATATTTGACCAAGGCGGGGTTAGATAAGCCATGGCCTAGGCCAGGGATATGCCCAAATCTTGACAAACCCTATAAATGAAATAAATTTCATCTTGGATTGAAATTCACATTATGTTTATAAATACACACACACATATATATATACACAATGATATATGTATATATATATATATATATATATATATATATATATATATATATATATATATATATATATATATATATATATATATATATATATATATATATATAAACACAATAAAATATTGTAGCACCGGCTAACTCCTGCTAATTATTTTTAAGCCGGACCAAAATAAAAAAAAGACATTACTTATACAGGTCAATTACGAGTTGTAAAAAAACGGTCACAACAATCCTACTTTCTGTTAAAAACATATCTACCTACTATCTACAATTCTACTGTCTGTTAAAAACATTACCTTCTATTATCAACAACCCTACTGTCTACTAAAAACATTATTACCTATTATCAACAATCCTACAGTCAGTTAAAAATATAGCCACTTATTATCAACAGTCCTACTGTCTTACAAAATCACAACCACCTATAATCTACAATCCTACTGTCTATCTACTGTCTGTTAAAACCATTAATATAACTATGATAGTCTGAAATATGAAATCTAAAAACATAATTTGTAACAAAATGAATAAAAAATACTTACTGTACATTTTCGACTAGTTATTGAAGGTCTTATATACATATCTTTTAAGCGTGGATTCCCTTTACTATTGTGAATAATTAGATCATCTTGCTTAATGACACCCTAAAAAAAGATGCTTGATTAATAAATAATATTAAAACCATTTAATTAAAAAAAAAATCTCAATTTTAATTATTATTGCACTTGAAGAATTTGATGGAAACAGTTTGAAATTACTAAAAAAGAATGTGATGGAAACACTTTAAAGTTGCCTTAAAAATGTGATGGAAACGGTTTAAAATTACTAAAAAATAATGCGATGGAAACAGTTTAAAATTGCTTTAAAAAAATGTGATATAAATAGTTTAAAATTACTAAAAAATAATGTGATGAAAACTGTTTAAAATTACTTAAAAAGAAATGCTCACATTTTTTTGTCTAAATAAAATATTATTTTGTTTAAAAAAAAATGCTTTTTTGAACCATTAACTTTAGTTAGTAGATAAAATTTATTTACCAACAACCCAATTTATTAATAAAGTAAAATACAAACTCTTAATTGCAAAAATGTGCTAAACCTATATATTTCATTGTATCAACCAGTAACTAAATATACTTGCAGGAAAAACTCTGAGTATCAACCCAAAAAAACTGAGTACCAACCCCAAAAAAAACCAAGTACCAATCCATGGCCTACTATAGTGGCAGACCAAGTAAACATAGTTCTTGGGATTTTTTCATACATAGAAAAAATCCCAAGAACTATGCTTTACTTACAAAGATATTTCAAGAACTGCAAAATGGTCAGATCTTAAAAAACTTTTTCTATTTGAAAAAGATACTATTGTGAAACTGTGTAAACTTAATGAAAAAGTAGTTTTTCCTAAACCAATTGAACATCAAAATGTGTCAACTTATTTAAGAGTATTTTGTGATGAGACTGTAGCTTCTATAAAAACTCATCCATCCATAAAAAATGTCGAAGACACCACAGTGGTTTTATCTATTTTAATCAAATTTTTAAAAATGATTAAAGGACTTTATGAAGATATTTGTACTAGAGATATTGTGCTGCTTTTTTATCAAACAAAAGAATATTGTGCTGTTTTTTTATCAAACAATGATAAACGATTGAATTTTCTTTTAAACTTGGCTGATATAATCAAAGAATGGCTCCTGAAAAACAAGGTCATAGACTAAAAAATTTAACCAAGTCTTTGGTTTACATTGCTGGCTATGTCAATAGGGAAGATCCTCCAGTTGAAGATACATTATTTTGTTTTGAGCAGTTTAGAGATATGTCAGAGAGATTGATTGTGGTGGTTTAAGTTCACCTGGAAATAACATTTGCCATTAGATATTTTATTGATCATTTTATTTTATCATTTTTACACTTTTGTCTGTCATGTTAGCGTATCAAACTGTTTTTTGATGGTATCTGACTTTTATAGATTTACCACTGTTTCAAAAAAAACATTGTAGAATCACTGCAAATATATTTTTTAACAACTATTGCCATCTCTATACCCCGCGATCTTCAAAGGAACCCACAATGAAAACTTTGAAGTTATCTTAAATGCAGAATATACATACATATATATATATATATATATATATATATATATATATATATATATATATATATATATATATATATATATATATATATATATATATATATTGACTAATTGTAGTTTTATTGTAGAAAGTTATTTTATCATATAGATTTGAGAGTTTTTTGCACAATAAAATGTGAGTTTTAAATGTAAGTTTTTACTATATTTTACCTAATGAAATGCTTTGGATTTATTATACAATTTTTTTTTTCATTTTGGAGGTTGAATTCATTTAATTGTTACAAAAATCTTTATTTATGACTTACATATAAATCATTGTTTATTAGAAATTTAAAAAAAAAAAACAACGTATGCTTCATAAAAAAACTCGCCTACAGTTTTTATTAAAGCCGTATGTTTATTTGGCCTGTCACTATAATAGGCCATGTGCCAAACCCAAAAAAAAACTAAGCACCAATCCCCCCAAAAATAAGTAGCCCTACCCTAAAAAAAACTAAGTACCAACCCTAAAAAAAAAAACACTAATCCCTAAAAAAATCCAAAATAAAAAGTCTTATTACTCACTTTAAAAAAATGAACCACCTAAATTTCATCATCACTTAAATCGGCTCAAAAATTTGATCCCAAATCTAATATACTCATTTTAAAGATAAACCATGCAATCATTATGCATTATTAAATCAATTTTCCTATTATTTTTTAAAGAGAAACCATGCAATAAATATGCATTATTAAATCAATTTTCTTATTTCCTCAATTTTCCTATTTCCGAAGGTTGCTCTTATTAAATTAGTTCTAAATTAAATATTTTTTATCAGAATTAAATTATATTTCTTTGCTCTAAACTTAAAGTATTAGCATTTACAAAACAAAAAAAAATCAATCATTACAACAAAATAAAAATAAATTTTTTTTAATTAGTAATAAAATAGCGCTCTAATATCTAACATTCATTCAGTATTTTATCATTGTTAAATCAAATGTTTTACTTCTTTTTCCTTTTCTTCAGCTTCCCTTGTTTTAAATTTTTTTTGGACATCTTTAATTAAGCGAAATGCATTGTTTAGATTAGCTGCAGGTGCTTGACTTTCACCAGGTTCTTTTAAATTTGAACTTCGAAAAACACTTATAAAGAAAAGCAATATAAATAAAAAGTTTTAAAAACAAATTTCTTGATTGATCAATATATATTATAATTATATATACTCTAATTATATATACTATATACTATACTATATATATATATATATATATATATATATATATATATATATATATATATATATATATATATATATATATATATATATATATATATATATATATATATATATATATATATATATATGATTGTGTGTTTCTCTGAGGTCACACTAATATAGCCTGCTGCTGGGGGCTTCAGTACATACATCGACTATCGACTATTGACTGAGGGATTGGCATGGGGTGGCAATCATTTCTTTCATATTCTTTTTTTTTATTCTTTTTATGAAAACACTGTATAAATTAACGTAAACAAAAAAAAGGGTAACAATTTGCTACATAATAAGCTATAGTATGTGTGTATATATATATATATATATATATATATATATATATATATTAGGGTGTCCCAGCCACCCCTTGTATTCTAAAAAAGATCTGTTCATATTCTTAAAAATTGCTATTGGTTCTTACAAACAACTCAGTTAAATTTTTTCAAAATTTTATTAATTTAGGGAAAGCACAAGACCCTTGAACACTTACCAGGTCCCTAATATTATATAAAAAAAAGTTTTTCAAAAGTATGACATGTTGGGTATCAAAAGAAGCAAAATTGTATAAAAATTTCAAAAATAACAATCATTTTATAAAAAAATTATTAAGATTATTTTAAGGAATTATTATCAAACAAATACACTTCTTTCGTTTTTAATTATAAACGGTCTTTTTTCTACAATTAACTCTAAAATAATAATTTTTAATAAAATGATTATTATTTTTGAAATTTTGCTTCCCCTAAATCCAATAATTTTTAAGAATATGAACAGATCTTTTTTAGAATATAAGAGACGCTGGTACACCCTTACTAAAATACTGTGCTCTCCTGAGACCGCCAGGGTAAATTTTGGTTTACTCAAATTTTTTCGTTTTATTACTATTATTGGGTTTAATAAAGTGTTTTAAAATAATTTTTCAAATCTAACTCACTTTTCAACATAAAAAATTGAGATTTAATTAACTAAAATATTTATAAAAAGTTATGTCATTTTATAATTAGATCATCTATTCAAAATGAATAAAAAGACACTCTGGTACGGAGTTACGGTAATATTTCGTAAGACATTTAAATAAAAAATACAGGGCTCGAATTAATGCAAAAAATCTAAAAAAATACAGGGCTCCAATTAATGCAAAAAATCTAATAGCCCCATCCCTGGCGCTGCTTTGTGGTATAAAATTGTATCTTTTGTACATTAGTTCATAATTATTATTTTTTAAACATATTATCTCTCATATCTAAATATTATCTTATAGTTTTCTTGTTTGGCGGAGTTTAAAATAGCGTAAGTTACTGTTATAATTTACAGCTTAAGTTATAATTTAAAGTTAAAGTTGCAGTTATAGTGTAATGAGTAAACAACGTATTTAATGCTATTAAGATATTACTTTTAGTAACTGTTTTTACTTAACATGATACTTATAAAAGTAAACAACGTATTTAATGCTATTAAGATATTACTTTTAGTAATTGTTTTTACTTAACATGATACTTATAAAAGTAAACAACGTATTTAATGCTATTAAGATATTACTTTTAGTAATTGTTTTTACTTAACATGGTACTTATAAAAGTAAACAACGTATTTAATGCTATTAAGATATTACTTTTAGTAATTGTTTTTACTTAACATGATACTTATAAAAGTAAACAACGTATTTAATGCTATTAAGATATTACTTTTAGTAATTGTTTTTACTTAACATGATACTTATAAAAGTAAACAACGTATTTAATGCTATTAAGATATTACTTTTAGTAATTGTTTTTACTTAACATGGTACTTATAAAAGTAAACAACGTATTTAATGCTATTAAGATATTACTTTTAGTAATTGTTTTTACTTAACATGATACTTATAAAAGTAAACAACGTATTTAATGCTATTAAGATATTACTTTTAGTAATTGTTTTTACTTAACATGATACTTATAAAAGTAAACAACGTATTTAATGCTATTAAGATATTACTTTTAGTAATTGTTTTTACTTAACATGATACTTATAAAAGTAAACAACGTATTTAATGCTATTAAGATATTACTTTTAGTAATTGTTTTTACTTAACATGATACTTATAAAAGTAAACAACGTATTTAATGCTATTAAGATATTACTTTTAGTAATTGTTTTTACTTAACATGATACTTATAAAAGTAAACAACGTATTTAATGCTATTAAGATATTACTTTTAGTAATTGTTTTTACTTAACATGATACTTATAAAAGTAAACAACGTATTTAATGCTATTAAGATATTACTTTTAGTAATTGTTTTTACTTAACATGATACTTATAAAAGTAAACAACGTATTTAATGCTATTAAGATATTACTTTTAGTAATTGTTTTTACTTAACATGATACTTATAAAAGTAAACAACGTATTTAATGCTATTAAGATATTACTTTTAGTAATTGTTTTTACTTAACATGATACTTATAAAAGTAAACAACGTATTTAATGCTATTAAGATATTACTTTTAGTAATTGTTTTTACTTAACATGATACTTATAAAAGTAAACAACGTATTTAATGCTATTAAGATATTACTTTTAGTAATTGTTTTTACTTAACATGATACTTATAAAAGTAAACAACGTATTTAATGCTATTAAGATATTACTTTTAGTAATTGTTTTTACTTAACATGATACTTATAAAAGTAAACAACGTATTTAATGCTATTAAGATATTACTTTTAGTAATTGTTTTTACTTAACATGATACTTATAAAAGTAAACAACGTATTTAATGCTATTAAGATATTACTTTTAGTAATTGTTTTTACTTAACATGATACTTATAAAAGTAAACAACGTATTTAATGCTATTAAGATATTACTTTTAGTAATTGTTTTTACTTAACATGATACTTATAAAAGTAAACAACGTATTTAATGCTATTAAGATATTACTTTTAGTAATTGTTTTTACTTAACATGATACTTATAAAAGTAAACAACGTATTTAATGCTATTAAGATATTACTTTTAGTAATTGTTTTTACTTAACATGATACTTATAAAAGTAAACAACGTATTTAATGCTATTAAGATATTACTTTTAGTAATTGTTTTTACTTAACATGATACTTATAAAAGTAAACAACGTATTTAATGCTATTAAGATATTACTTTTAGTAATTGTTTTTACTTAACATGATACTTATAAAAGTAAACAACGTATTTAATGCTATTAAGATATTACTTTTAGTAATTGTTTTTACTTAACATGATACTTATAAAAGTAAACAACGTATTTAATGCTATTAAGATATTACTTTTAGTAATTGTTTTTACTTAACATGATACTTATAAAAGTAAACAACGTATTTAATGCTATTAAGATATTACTTTTAGTAATTGTTTTTACTTAACATGATACTTATAAAAGTAAACAACGTATTTAATGCTATTAAGATATTACTTTTAGTAATTGTTTTTACTTAACATGATACTTATAAAAGTAAACAACGTATTTAATGCTATTAAGATATTACTTTTAGTAATTGTTTTTACTTAACATGATACTTATAAAAGTAAACAACGTATTTAATGCTATTAAGATATTACTTTTAGTAATTGTTTTTACTTAACATGATACTTATAAAAGTAAACAACGTATTTAATGCTATTAAGATATTACTTTTAGTAATTGTTTTTACTTAACATGATACTTATAAAAGTAAACAACGTATTTAATGCTATTAAGATATTACTTTTAGTAATTGTTTTTACTTAACATGATACTTATAAAAGTAAACAACGTTTTTAATGCTATTAAGATATTACTTTTAGTAATTGTTTTTACTTAACATGATACTTATAAAAGTAAACAACGTATTTAATGCTATTAAGATATTACTTTTAGTAATTGTTTTTACTTAACATGATACTTATAAAAGTAAACAACGTATTTAATGCTATTAAGATATTACTTTTAGTAATTGTTTTTACTTAACATGATACTTATAAAAGTAAACAACGTATTTAATGCTATTAAGATATTACTTTTAGTAATTGTTTTTACTTAACATGATACTTATAAAAGTAAACAACGTATTTAATGCTATTAAGATATTACTTTTAGTAATTGTTTTTACTTAACATGATACTTATAAAAGTAAACAACGTATTTAATGCTATTAAGATATTACTTTTAGTAATTGTTTTTACTTAACATGATACTTATAAAAGTAAACAACGTATTTAATGCTATTAAGATATTACTTTTAGTAATTGTTTTTACTTAACATGATACTTATAAAAGTAAACAACGTATTTAATGCTATTAAGATATTACTTTTAGTAATTGTTTTTACTTAACATGATACTTATAAAAGTAAACAACGTATTTAATGCTATTAAGATATTACTTTTAGTAATTGTTTTTACTTAACATGATACTTATAAAAGTAAACAACGTATTTAATGCTATTAAGATATTACTTTTAGTAATTGTTTTTACTTAACATGATACTTATAAAAGTAAACAACGTATTTAATGCTATTAAGATATTACTTTTAGTAATTGTTTTTACTTAACATGATACTTATAAAAGTAAACAACGTATTTAATGCTATTAAGATATTACTTTTAGTAATTGTTTTTACTTAACATGATACTTATAAAAGTAAACAACGTATTTAATGCTATTAAGATATTACTTTTAGTAATTGTTTTTACTTAACATGATACTTATAAAAGTAAACAACGTATTTAATGCTATTAAGATATTACTTTTAGTAATTGTTTTTACTTAACATGATACTTATAAAAGTAAACAACGTATTTAATGCTATTAAGATATTACTTTTAGTAATTGTTTTTACTTAACATGATACTTATAAAAGTAAAC